CCCCGTGTGAGAAAGGAGTTGTCGTTGGAGTTCCGCGCCAGAGGGCTGTGTGACGTTGATGCCGGTGACTTGATGCACAACTTTAGCCGCCCCTCTCTGCCGCCCTGGTTGCAGATGAGCCTGTCCCTGCTGCTGGCCGCCGCGCTCCTGTGGGCGGCGCCGCCCCCGGCCGGGCCCGTCCCCAGCTCGGCGCCCGCCCCCGAGCCGCCTCCGGAGCCACCACCGGAGCCACCGCCCTGCGACTTCAACTCGATGTGCTCCTGCACCGGCGAGGAAGTGTCCTGTGTGGGCGTGCCCCTCTACCGCATGCCAGGTAAGATTGCCTCCTCACCCTGTTGCGAACGGGCCTCGATAGCTGACATTATTGTTGACGTACCACGGAGTTCGAGTTTTTCTGTTTAGCTCTGGTTCACCTCTGGATGAGGTCCACATTACCTCCAGTTTAACTTTGAATTACCTCTAGAAAACCTCCAGATTACCTCAAGACTCTTGAAAATTTTGGGAATTACCGCTGACGGTTGCCTGCCTCACGCCTGAACAGAGGGCACCGAAAGGTGACTTCGCGACGTAGTCTGCTCCTTGGCTTTTGACTCCTCTGACCCCACCGACCACGGAGGCTGTAGTCGATACACTTCGATGGAGAGCGTTTTGAATAAATGACGCAATCTTTTCGATGGATATGCCGCGGACCGCCGGTCGGTCCCTTGACTGGCTCCGGTCGCGGTGGCTGGACCGGTGCGGAACCCCCCTCCAACCCCTACCCCTCGGCCCACCCCAAGGGGGATAGGAAGGGGTGTGGGAACGGCATCGGGAGCCTGCAAACTTGTCGGAGGGGGGGCGGTGGTGGTGGGCGGGGCAGCCCCGTTGTGTGGTTTAGCACCCGCCGCGCCGCGCCGCCGAGAGCAGCGCAGAGGAATGGAAACGAATTGCGTGAGGAGAATTCCGCGCGCTGCACTAGCCGAGAAATGAGTTCCTCTACAGAGTGCCCCCTCCCCCCTCCCCTTCTCCGCCACCTTTTCACCGCGCGCGGGTGGGTGCGGGCGTCCTGGGCGAGACTCACCACCCGATTAACATTTCACCGGGTGCGTGCTGCCGCCTCCTGCTCTCCCCCGAGTAAGTGGAGCAGAGGCCTATCTTCCCACTCAGCTACATCCGCACTTACACTACTCAAGTTTCCCCTTCACTCTGATTCCCATAAAAGTAAGCAGCTCGCGCGATATAACATTTTACAGCCGTTAAGTGCGGGCGGGTGGCCGCGCCGAGGGAGACTTGCGCCGCGGAGGGGCGGGGGGTGCATTGCGAATTCATGGTCGCGGAGAGGGGGGAGGGGGGAGAGTTGGGAGAGTCTCCGCTAGCGCCAGACGGCGGCGGGCCCGGCGCGGGCGCTGAGTGGAGCTGCGGCTCACAAGTTTTATATATTCACCTGGGCAGCCCGGTCCGACACGCCGAGCACCCGTCCCCGCCCCTCCCCCCTACCCTCTTCTTCTTCTACTCCCCCTGGGATGAAAGGCATTTCAAAACAGCGCGGGCAGCGCTCGCCATGCAGAGTACCCCTGGCAACCACATCACAACCATGAGGAGGATGAGAAGCAGCAGCTACCGGGTACTCTCCCGCGCAGACTGGCTACAGAGGGTTGTCCAGCAGCCGCGCAATCTCGTGCCGTTATTTCCAGCGCTGCCCGCCGCGCCGCTGCAGCTCGTGGAGCTGCTGCAGTCGGCAGTGAGCTCGCTGGACGACGCCGCCCTGGCCGGGGTGCACACCGCCAGCCTCCGCGTCATCGGCAGCCGCCTCATCCACATCGGGCCCCACGCGCTCGCGTAAGTACCCGCGGCTGACAGCCAAAAGAATTCAAAGAACCCTCAAATTTATACTTCTTAATTTTTATTTTTTTCTTCTAAAATGTGGTGTTTGTAGAGAAAATTTTAACCATCAAAATGTTAGCGAAATATGTTATTGCTTCCTGAGAATAATTTCAGCTGTCACACTTGCCTGCGTGTGCCCCCCTGCAGGCCCCTGGCGGACGAGCTGCGCTCCCTGGATCTGAGCTACAACGAGCTGCAGGCCGTACCGGAGGCGCTCAGCCCGCTGCGAGCCCTGCACTGGCTCAGCCTGCACGGGTGAGATCATCGGGACGGCCTCGCGCGGGGCCTCGAGGACCTCTCAGACGGCAGTGGCTGGACAGCGCACGCACTGAGCACCCGGTTACGGCGTCTTTCTACTTACACAGCGTTAGCTCGTTTTGCTTAACGCATACGGGATTATCCAGAAAATAACGTCCGTCATTCGTCGTTACAAACCAGTTATAGTTCAGCCTCTTAAAGCTCTCAAAACGCCTGGTTGGTAGGCAACATCTCGCCTGCAGGACATGCATGTAATGCGGAGTTGCCTACCCCGAGTATCGCAGGCGCCCAGCCCCCTTATTTTGCCGAATGAATCGAAGGAAAACGGCCATACTTCATCCATAACATGCTTATCATTGGTAAAAGAAAGTAGACAAATAAAGCAGGAATAGGCGTTTAAAGTTTTTAAGCATTTCTAAACCCCCTGAATTTGCAGAAAGTTTCTAATGCCTGTGCGAATTTTCTGTGAGAACACAGTTTAAGTCTTCCGAAGCAAAATGCCAAATGCTTCGTACCTACGAAGGATTTGCTCCCTACGAAGCGTCCAAATCCTTCGTATTACAAAGGATTTTGCATTTTTCTTCGTAAGACTTTAACAGTGAAAGGCGTAAGCTACTCAAATTCTGTATAAAGAAGAAACCGGAGTCATTTCCCTCTCGTCTGGTTGTCACTGTTTTCGGTACCTCTGACAGTGTTTTCGCCTCTTTCAACAGGAACCAGCTGACCTCCCTGGACGTGGACTGGGCGCACCTGAGGGACACGCTGGCGAACCTGTACCTGGGCGAGAACGACCTGACGGCGCTGCCGGAGCAGGCCGACGCGGCGGCCGGACCCCGCCACTCGTCCGCCAACGACGTGCTCCCCGTGCGAGGTGCGGCCAGGGCGCGAGAGATGAGTACATTTGTCTGGATGTACATTGTGGCGGGGACTGTACCGAGTGTGTGGGCGCAGGCGCGGGCAGCCTGTCGCAGCTGCGCCGGCTGCACACGCTGGAGCTGGACAACAACCAGCTGAGCGTGCTACCGCCGTCCGCGCTGCCCGCCTCGCTGCGCCGCCTGTCCGTGCAGCACAACGCCCTGGTGCGCGTGCCCGGCGCGCTGCTCGAGCCGGACGGCGCGGCCCGCCTGCAGCACCTGCAGCTGCGCGGCAACCTCGTCCGCACCCTGCCGCGCGCCGGCCTGCGCGCGCCCCGCGCCCTGGAGCTGCTCGACCTCACCGACAACAACATCCAGGTTCGGATCCCCGAGCAGCAGCAGCAGGGCCCTCCTGACTTTCTTTCTCGCTCCGTTCCGGCGGGAACAGTCGCGCTCGACCGCCACTCCCCCTCCCTCCCCTCTCTGAAAATCGCATAACGAACTTTAAGTCGGACGCGCGCGGTTCTGGTTCTGGGGAAGGCGGGCCGCGGTGCGGCAGAGGGTACGGTGCGGCCGCTAAGCAGGCGTCCCGCCCGCCCCCACCCCACCACTAGGGCCTTGGCAATGCTCGGTGCCTCCAACAGGATTATTTCAGCACCAGCGTTTTGTCCGTCTCTTTTGCGAGGCTGCCCCCCCCC